TGATGCCCTCGAGAGCTAAATGTCTCATGTGTGTGTGTGTGTGTGTGTGTGTGTGTGTGTGTGTGTGTGTGTACTTGTTTAAGCTACATTGTGGGGACCAAATGTCCCCACAAGGATTGTAAAACCTGAAATTTTTTACATAAAAATTCAATAAAATAAAATAAAATATTTTAGTATTATTTTAATACTAAAATAACCTGTCTGGATTAAACATGGGAAAAACGTATATATAATTCATATACACACACTAGAAACTTTCAGTCTAAACACACAACAGCATCTCTGTTTATGGAAAAAAATAGAGAGATGTGCTATAATTCTGAAAAATATCATCATTTAGAAGAGAAAATGTCTTGATGATGAGCTATATATATATATATATATATATATATATATATATATATATATATACATACATACACACACACATAATTCCATTAATAAACATGAATATATTTATTATTTATATATATTTATATAAAATGTAAGAGATATCCTTGACCCTTAAGTCAACCTTATCTAAAAATTGAGGGTTTAATATATATCTCTCTTTTTAACTTTCACCAAATTTAATTTTGAAATGAATACTTTATTATATATTTACTTATATATTTACTTATATATATACAATCAGCAAGTTAAAGGGTTAGTTCACCCAAATAATGAAACCCTTAAGACCTTGGTTCATCTTCGGAACACAATTTAAGACATTTTTGATTAAATCTGAGGGCTCTCTGACCCTCCCATAGACAGCAAGGTAACTACCACGTTCAAGGTCCAGAAAAGTACCAAGATGATCGACAAAGTAGTCTGTGTGTCTTCAGTGGTTCAACTGTACATTGGTCCAAAGTGACGAAAAGAGAGACGAAAATGTGGAATAAAGTCGTTATTTTGTTTTTTTTTGCGCAAAAAAGTATTCTCGTAGCTTCATAACTTCACAGTTGAACCACTGAAGACACACGGACTACTTTGTCGATCATCTTGGTACTTTTCTGGACCTTGAACGTGGTAGTTACCTTGCTGTCTATGGGAGGTTCAGAGAGCCCTCAGATTTCATCAAAAATATCTTAAATTGTGTTCCGAAGATGAACGAAGGTCTTACGGGTTTGGAACAACACGAGGGTGAGTAATAAATGACAGAATTTTCATTTTTGGGTGAACTAACCCTTTAAACACCTAAGATCTGGATGAAAAAGAGAAACGGACGGACATTGTGTGTGTTTATATGTAATTAAATGTGCCACACTCTTCAGAAAGTCATCCCATCAATGACTGACTTATCCTCTCTGTTTAGTAAACTTGAATAGAAGACATTATTTTAACCAAATTGCACGTTTCACAGTCGTACCTTTATCTAAATGTTCGTTCACTCACCGCTTTCCTCTCTGTTTTGATTTCCTGTGCATATCGCGTGAGTTCGGCGATGATCTGTGACGTCATGTTCTCTCCGATGACCTCATGCTGTCCGGCGTAATCGTTCAGCTCGTTTAGCGTCGAATGAAACGCGCGACACCATGTGTACCTTGACAGGACGGAGACACATACATGAATATATCTGAATCCATCCGCTAATTTAAGTGGGTTAAATGCTGATTCATACAACTGGATTTAGACCAAACAAATCTAATATCAATCATGAAAGAAATGAGAAAAATTATACATACTTATTCTCGTCTTCCTCTTTCTTCTTAGGCTGGTATTTCTTGGACAGATTCCTGTGCAAAATTAAAAAACCAAGAAATAAATGACTGCATATGTTTACAATGCTACCATACTTACTACCATAAGTTATACTGTAAGTCCTTCTACAAGGTACACTACATCTGGTAACTGTATTTATATACTATACTGATATACTATATATTTTTTTAAATGTGCTGTATGAAACCAGAGCATACTCTTATAGGCCACTCATTAAAAAATATGCACTCTTACAACCATCTGCGAGATATTACAATATAAACATCATTACATAAACATTGTCAGAATACCTCAGCTTTCCATCATAAGCAATTTATTGGCATAACATTTTTTATTCACACACATGCTCCTAAATACATTTTAGAGCTTGCACACTATTTTTAGTCGCATATTTATATTGGCTCAAATATTGTTTCTTCCACAAGCTATGCAAAACTATGCCAAAAAAAGTAAAATATATATTTGATCAATATAAAACACAAAAATTTAATATTTATTAAAAATTCAAGAACTTTAAGAACAAATTAATCTAAGATTTTAAGAATAAATCATCTACCTATTTATCTATGAATTAATGAATAAATCAATCCATGAATGAAGGAATACATTTATCTAGGAAACTGAATTTTTAGACTTTTTAAGGACCCACTGACCCCGTTTTTATTCACACATGCTCCTAAATTCATTTTACAGTTTGCACACTTTTATTTTTAGTTGCAAATGCACCTAAAACGCTTGCACTGTTGAGCCCTGTGTGTGCTATACTGTATCCCACAATACAATGTGTGCTTGACTTTTCATTTTCACTAAATGAACATTAAAGGGGTCATATGATGTGATTAAAATTTTTCCTTTCTCTTTGGAGTGTTACAAGCTCTTGGTGCATAAAGAAGATCTGTAAAGTTCCAAAGACTAAAGTCTCAAATCCAAAGAGATATTCTTTATAAAAGTTAAGAGTCAGCCACCCCTACCCAAAAACGGCTCGTTCTAACACGCCCCCACATATCTATGTCACGATGTGGGAAGATTTGCATAACGCCACCCAAATGTTCACGCAAACAAAGAAGGCGTAACTTTTATTCTCGCTGTAGTATTGTTGTTGCCGCCGCCGCCATATCATGAAGGCGCTGTGTGAATTGTTGTGAAAGCGAAACTACTTTGTTTGGCCTTCCAAAAGAGGACGATATCGCTTTGTCATGCCTGGAGCTGATCCGTGCTGGTGGCTGAGGAAATACAACAACTTTGCGCTGTCGATCGCCGGATCGGCTTTCACCGTGGACGAAGCGAAGTCCAGCCCGGGGTCGTCACATGTGGTTGCCGCAAACCCTCCGGACGCTCCTTCATCGAATCCACCGGCCGTGCCGTTCTCAAGCCCACCGGCCTCCGCTCACTCTAGCCCCCGGCCGCCGCTCACTCGCCGTGTGTGACGCTGTGTTTCATTGTGAAAGTGAAACTACTTTGTTTGGCCTTCCAAAAATGGACACAACTAGGAGGCGTAACATTTCCGTCACACGCTTGAGGTATACGGCCAATCATAACACACTGGATAGCTGGCCAATCACAGCACACCTCGCTTTTCAGACCGATGAGCTTTGTAAAAATCAATGAGTTTCAGAAAGGCGGGCATAGAGGAGAAACAATAACGTACAGTATGTGGAAAATAATGTGTTTTTTTTTACCTTAAACCGCATAAACACATTTCATTACACCAAATACACAAAATAATGTTCTTTTTAGCAACAGCATGTGACCCCTTTAATTATAATATTTTAACTTGATTCTTGTTCTGACTGCCACAAGTTAAATAACCATTTAATTTAGAAGAAAAAAGGTTAAATTAAATATGAAAAAAGGTAATACTGTATTGCCAAATCAAACATGCAACATACTACTGTTTGAAATGATTACCATATATGCAGTTTAACATACTATAAAAATTAAATAAACCATTAAACAGTTGGCTGTATTCAGTGTATACTTCAGTGCAGTATGCAGAAACAGTGTGCTAGTATTCCATTGCAGAGATGCAATGTTAAAGCAAGTTTATAAACCAATCAGAGAGCCCAAATGAGAAAAGCAACCAATCAAAATTCTTAGTGCAAAGAAACAATCAAAAGAGGAAATTCAAATATAGAACTCTTGGACTTTTTGTCTCTGTATTCCTACATTATTTAAAATTAATGTGAGGCTCAGTGTCAGTGTGTGTGTGTGTGTGTGTGTGGAAACTGTGACACAAAGGCTGTCTCTCTTTCATTGTAGCCTTTCTCGTCACTGTCAGATGTTTCTCTGTGTATTCTATTATCACCACCAGCCTTAAATACAGAGCGTCTGCTCATCGTCACCACCTCAGGGCAGGTGTGTGTGTGTGTGTGTGTGTGTGTGTGTGTGTGTTTGCTCATACTGCACCTTGCCAAAGGGAAAAAAACACACTAAAATAAATAAGCACACACTCACGCACTCGCCCACAGCGAAACAAACACCTCTCAGCCCCCTTCAGTCCCTCTGTCACTGTTTTCTGCACATATTCTTCAGAATAGCACATTAACATACTAATATTAATATTGCACTGCGTTCTCAGCACACATTAAACACACACACACACACGTGATGTACCACACAACCATCACACTACATGCAGCACTGTATCCCACGATGCAATGCACTCGACTTGACCTTTCTTTTACAGTGTGATAAATGACATGGAAGTAATATCAACCATCATTTTAACATTTGTGACTCAAATAATTTAAATATTTGATAGGAAAAAGATTGAATTTAAAAGATGCTATAAAGTTCTTATTTCCAATCCATTCATGAATTAATAAATAAATTATGAATTTCTATCTATCTATTAATTAATGTATTAATCTATCTATAAATGTATGAATAAATAGTCTACCTATCTATCTATTCATTCATAAATAAGCTAAACTATGAATGAATAAAAATCTATAAATTTGAATAATCTATGAATTTAAATACATTCATATTCAATTTATATTTTTTATATTTCAAAGTAATGCTAATAAATGTATAAACAAGTTATCTATTTATTGATCTATGAATTAATGAATACACTAATCTGTAAATGAAGAAATAAATGTATCTATGAATTTGAATAAATTAATCAATGAACAATGAATAAATAACCTACCTACGTTTCTATGAATTTGATTAGTCAATTAATCATATTTATTTAATGAATAAACTAATCTATAAATAAAAATGCATAGATTATTTATAGTGATTTATAGTTTATAGATTATAAATATATTAATTCATAAATAAATGTATCTATGAATTTGAATACATTTATCTATTAATTAACTAATACATTAATTTGTGCATTTATGAATAAATCATCTATCTATCTATAAATATGAATAAATGAATCTATAACTTGCATTAATCTACGAATGTATAATAAATAATCTTAATAAATACTTATCTATTAATTTCTGAATTTTGAAAAACTGTTTACCAACCCACCCACCTATCTACATATCTGTCTTTCAATCTACCTATCTATCTATCACATCTGGATGCGTTTTCAACTGCACAACATTATATGACTGTTTCTGCAACACTGCAATTTCCTTTCCTGAAGATAAATAGAATTTACTCACACACTCACACACACACACACACTCAATATTGACTATAATCTTAGCTAATTCGCTTTTCATGCATGCAAGTCCCTGTCTGGATCAGGATATCTGGGATATTAGTGTGTGTGTGTGTATGTGTGTGTGCGCATATATGCATGCATGTTTATCAAAAACTGTAAGTGTGCATGTGCTAGTGTATTAATATAGATGCAACTGAAGCTGTATCCCATACAAAAACTACCATGGTATTATCATAAATATATACCATGGAAGAAAAAAACAAGGACATTTGTTTTGTTTTTTATTACCACAACTAAAATGGGAATGTCAATTCAGCACCATTTAACATGGTAAATATGATATTCAAATGTGTATATTAAAGAATCATGGAACTGCCAAATGTACTGTTTTGTAAAGGATGAAAACATGATCATTTGTTTATACCATTTGACCACAGAATGCAATTCTATCACGCAGTGTATCTGAGGTTATAAGTGCAGTTCATCACATCCAGTAACAGGCTGGTATGAGTGAGTGTGTGTGTGTGTGTGTGTGTGTGTGTGTGTGTGAGATGGCTGAACCCCCTGCTGTGTCTGGGAATTAAAGGGGTTTCCCACTGCTATCTGGAGGGGGATGATGTACAGTCAGTGTGTGTGTGTGTGTGTGTGTGTGAGAGAGAGAGAGAGTTTTAAATCCTATCACTGGAATGGGGGCGGGGTCGTGGCACTTGATTGGCTGCTGCAAATGTAGGTCACCAACGAGGAACACCATGCTGGCACCTTGTTACCACGGAAACCTGCATTTTCTTCCCAGACTTACACACACACAGAAAACACAAATGTTGCCCTTTCTTCCTGTATCCTTGAGCTGTCAGCAGCAACATCACATGTGTAATTAATGTGTGTGTGTGTGTGTGTGTGTGTGTGTGTTTAACTGTCTAGTCTTTATTTTTAAACGAACACTGAATTAAAGGGGTTGCACTCTTCTATCTGGAGTGGGATGCTGTACAGTGAGTGTGTGTGTGTGTGTGTGTGTGAGAGAGAGAGAGAGTTTTAAATCCTATCACTGGAATGGGGGCGGGGTCGTGGCACGTGATTGGCTGCTGCAAATGTAGGTCACCAACGAGGAACACCATGCTGGCACCTTGTTACCACGGAAACCTGCATTTTCTTCCCAGACTTACACACACACAGAAAACACAAATGTTGCCCTTTCTTCCTGTATCCTTGAGCTGTCAGCAGCAACATCACATGTGTAATTAATGTGTGTGTGTGTGTGTGTGTGTGTGTGTGTTTAACTGTCTAGTCTTTATTTTTAAACGAACACTCTATGAAGTACAAGCAGCTGCCCCTGTCTTTATTTACACAGACATGACAGATGCATTTCAGGGGTTAAAGTGGGGTTTTGGGTGAAGGAACCCTAAGATCTGATGGTGATCCTGGTGGCACAGGTGAGATAAGACATGGCCTCTGACCTATCAAGCCACAAAAGTATTCTACATAATTACCTGTGTTGAAAAACAGCTTAAAAAGGTCTCCAAGCTTGATCAGACTTATCTGTTGACTGATTTTAAAGAGGTTTTCACAGGCTTGGCAAGGCTGAGAGTCTAGATTAAACCAGCTAAGACCAGAAAACCAGCTTAAAATGGTAATCTGTCAGGGTCTATACATATATTCACTAGAAAGCTAAATAAATGCATGTACACCGAAAGGAATGGTGCAGGATTTATTTTGGAATGATTTTCACTCAGAAATTCCTAGTAAATTTCACAATGAATTACAATAAAATGGCAATAACACACTGAAATTCTGAAGTAGAAATAGTAGGAACGGTATTTTCTCATGAATCATGTCACTCATTGTTTTTAAAAAGTCATTCAAATTTTTTTAATTACTTTAAAAAAAGATTTTAGAAAAGTAATTTCAAAAGTCATCTTTACGGTCTATAAGCATAAATATTTGTTGTAATTCTTTTTTTTATGTACACTATGCTCTTTGTGTATATGTTTTGGTTACATCTGCATGATAGAAATATCACTTTCACAGACACATTGGCCTCTGATGATCACCTGTGCACACAACAGTCACACAGCATATTACTCTTCCTAATTCTGCAGTATAATCAGTATAATATGCATATTTAAGGATGTAATGTTTTTTTTGTTATTTATTCTGCAACTGAAAATGACCCATTCCATGATAAAAGCCTGTATACATCATTAAAAAGTCTTCATGTATAAGGTTTATGCAAACGAAAATATTTAGTGCAGTTGTATTAATCACAGCGGCTGATGCAACACTCACCTGATCTGTCTTGCATAGTTGAGCTCGATCTCAGTCCTTTCCTTCACAAATTTGGTGTATTTTTCCACAAAGTCGATTCCCCACTGCGTGTGCTTTTCCAGGTTATCAAACTGATCCTGAGAGAAAGAGAGAGAGAAATATGTTAAAGCTGGCACAATAACAGTGCAGACTGTTTCGACATCCTTATTCAGTTGTTGAAACAAAAAAAATGTACCACAGCAAGAAAGGTTCACCAAACGGACACCGCAGGGCGTCACAAGCAAAGGTGACATTCTATTAAGTCAAAAGGAAGTGGACAGGAAAAGCCCATCCTGATACTGACATGAAAGAGAGTACTGTCAAAAATAGTGACCAAATGCATGAGCTATTTTCACTTTATTTGCTAAAGTGATGTTACTACTAAGTGCAAACTAAACAGTATGAGGTCGAAATAGAAATAGTATAGATGTAAATACAGTTTTACATTCAAAATTTGCCAGGATTTTAAGTCAAAGCACATTGTCCACTGTACATAAATTGTAAACTGCATAATTCACAAATTAAAGCCAGGATCATCTACTGCATCAAGTTCAAGATGTTTCTGAAGGTTTCCTATCAGAAAAACACAAGGAACCAGTTTTATAGACTGAGCGGTCCAAGTTGTATTAAAAACTGAAATCTGGAAGAGAATGCAGGTGCTTTTATGTTTCCAGGATACGTAAATATAACCTCTTTACAACACACAAACACACCACAGAAATGAGTCCTAGAAGCAGACGCAATCCATTTTTACACCTCAACTAACACTGATCACATATTTGAGATGTGACAGGCTCAGTTTAAGAGCCTGGTGCATGTTGGGTAAAATATGACAGAAAATACTTAAGACTTAAATATACTTCAGAAGGTATCTGACAAGAAAGAAATCCTATATACTGTATTAACAACCTACGAAGCATGGACTGTGCAAAAACAACCTAAAAAATGCCATGCATTAGGAAACACAACAGGACGTTCTAGCTAAAAATTCCATTCAGAACCAAAACTTCTTTTAAGTCCGCTATCATAAAAGCACCTGTTTGAAGGTTCAAATTGTTCCAAACCTATATGAATTTCTTTCTTCTTAACATAAAAGAAGATATTTTGAAGAAACAAACAGTTTTTGGTCCCCATTGACTTCCATAGTATTTTTTTTTCTTCCATGTAATGAAAACAAATAAATCAAAAACACTGATCTTAAGAACCTACAATGAAATCAAGACATTTTTACACTGCTAAAACAACAGCAACTCAAAAATCCTACAAAGCATTGCTTTGCTGAACCGAAGAACCATTTAAAAGCTTTACAGTGCACAATGAAATCACATCATCAACTTTACTTGGCACATTAGACAGAAACTACTCTGAATTCAACAAGTAAATGGTATCGTAGTAACGCTTCGATCACCTTCGTTTGACTCCAGCATCCCCCCATTTTCTCTTCAACCATCTCGAAGTCTGATGAATCTGAAGAATCCAGTCAGATATTCGCTCACACACTCCTTCCGTCCGAACAAGCGTTAGATGCACAAAACCATTTCACTTTCTCCTTATGAAAGAAGACACCACTGTTCAATTCCTGTTCGTGCAAACTGACTCTGCATGCATTCAGCCAGCAGAGAGGATGAACGCTCAAACCTTGTATGTTTGTGCGCACAGGATGTACATGTGGGTGATGATCTAGGTTTCTGCACTACATATTAGAACTTTCGGTCTATTGTTTAAAGATACAGTTCACCAAAAATTCAAATTTGGTCATTATTTACTCACCATTATGTCATTCCAAACCAATATGAATTTCTTGAGCTATTTTCATATAATGCCAGTTAAAACTAAACTAAATGAAACCAAAAAGCATTATAAATGTACAGTAAAAAAATCCAAACAACTTGCATGCTAAATTCCATGTCTCACGAAAAGACTGAAATTTTTTACAAATTTCAATGCACAACATTATTAAACACCCCCACATAAATCGTATGGACTACGTTTATTCTATCGTTATTGTGTTTTTTGTTTTGTGGTCACTATAAATTATCATGTAAAGAACCACACGGAAATCTAATAAATAACTGCATTTGGGTTTGGAACGACACGAGGGTGAGTAAACAATGACTGAATTTTCATTTCTGGTGTTATTAAAATTAGCAATGGAAGAATAGAGCTAAGAAACACACACTGTGCCAAAGTCCCCTGTCAGCATCTGGGTAATTCAAATGACCTAATACGATTAGCCAGCCTCATTTAAACACAGATCACCTCCTCTTACACAACACAGTCTTTAGTCCACACAGTAGAGACAAGAAACACTAGAAGAGCAGCAGCTGAAGGTTTCAAGAAGGCAAATTGAAAATCTGCTGTGTGATCTTCTTGTGGTTTTGATCAGTGAGACGACGTATTATGTGACAAACGGATGCTCGGTCGTCTGACATTTTCAGCAATGCAAAGATGTCTATGAAGTAGGGATGGGCGATATGGGCTTTAAAAAAAATATCACGATATTTCTGGTATTTATTGCGATAATGATATCAATGACGATAATTTAGGGAATCCTGTTTCTTTAGAGAAAAGTATTATCTTTCCTATTTTTACCCAAAATAGGGTGTTGTGAGCATTAAAGGGGTCATATGATGCGATTTCAAGTTTTCCTTTCTCTTTGGAGTGTTACAAGCTGATTGTGCATAGATAAGATCCCTGAAGTTGCAAAGACTAAAGTCTCAAAACCAAAGAGATATTCTTTATCAAAGTTAAGACTCTTGCCACGCCCCCCTAAAACGGCTCGTTCTAACAGTACACACGTAATGTAAAGACTGTTCAATTCATACTGGAAGCCGGAGGGAGCTCTTGCACAGAAACGCCACATATCCATAGCAGAAGTAATACTACTGACGACGCTCCAGAAAGGTATCCAGTTATCGCTGAATAAAATGCACAACGAGAAAGAGACATTTTAACTGATGAAACTTGAGGAAAATAAACATACGATTGCACAAAATATATGGTATATCTGTGTTCTTCAATCTTGGGTAAATTTATTAGGAAAGTATATTTATAATGCAATGTTAATCGACATGGCCTTTATCACTGTATATAATCCTATCATTCTGTAATATGAAACCACGTCTGGTCACAAAAAGAAGTATTTCAAACACACGACTATGTTATTAAGTTAATTTGGAGAAAAAGCATGTCAATAAATTATATCTTTGTTGGACGCCAGGTTTGTAAACAGGCTCATACACGTGCAAAACAGTATCGCACACATGTTACTGTAGCACATTTATTCAGACTGATTTTTTGTGCACTGTACAGCCCTAACCAAACCAGTTACAGGTTGTAAAAGGAGCTCGAGCTCCTCATTTAGCGATATAGGCTACTCCTCCTCAATTTCACGTCCGCCTTCCGCGATGTCGCTCCGCACTGTCGCACACAGAAATGTCAACAACTAGACTTTATCGTTATTATCGCGGGAAGACTAATTCTTATCGTGGGGAGAATTTTTACCGATATATCGCAAACGATAAGATACTACTATGAAGTGCAAGAGAGATCTAAAAGACTAAACTAACTCTATGAAAGCCAAAGTCCTCTGCAACCAGCAGTAAAGATGCTTTGTGTCGCTGTTCACGTGGGCAGATTTTGCAATTCTTGAGGCATCAAAGTATCAAAAACATCAAAACTTGACATCACCTTGTAGGGACATCCCCACATGGAAAACTTCTTCTAAGAGGGACTAAATAATGTGTTATTTCACGTCTAAGAATAGTACAAATGTACTTTTGGCTCAGTTGGTTTAACATTAAAGTAAAGGTTAGGGTTGGTATCATCCAATTTACATGTGCAGTTATATATTTAGCAGACACGCGCATCCATAATGACTTAAAAATGAGGAACAGCACAATAAAAGTGACTCATCCAAGAACAGTTACAATAAACGGTAAAAGTATAGTGTTATAACGGCAAGTTAATGTGCTGATGTATTAACAGACACCACCATTAAACAACAAACCAACCAATTTTACTGAGAAATATCATGCAACCACAAACTATACAGAATTCAATGTTTCCTGTTAAAACTCTATATAATATGATTGTTTGGTGCAGTATTGCAACACAAAAGCATTAGCATATTCATTTACCCTCTGAGTTGACAACACTTTAGTCCATGGTTCTTTAAATGATGAAGCGGCCCCCATCTCTTGCGCCCAAACCAGTTCTAAAATCAAAAACAGGACCAAGACCGCCTGTCCGATTCAAACCAGCACAATTCTCCGGTCAAAACCAGTCCGTCCGCCAGTATCAAATGCTGATTCCAGTGTTATAATGGTGGCTTATAATCCAGATTCGGTCTTTATCCACAGATTAAACCCCTCAAACCAGCATAAAGCAGACATACTTCACATCTGGAGCTGATCCAACGAGCGTCTGGGTGCCAGATTTACAGTAGTTCAGTAGTTCTACTTCTTAATTCAAGCCCAGACATTATCAATGACCAAAGAGCACCAGAAAGATCCAGCACAGCTCCCGCAAGCAAGTAACACACTACCTGATGAGGAATTTACATTCATATTTACATCCAGTCATTTAGCAGAACTTTCTATTTAAAGCAGCATACAAATGAGGAACACAACAACAATAGGTGATTCACAAAATAAGAGTTTCGGCGCTTAGAATTTAGATAAGAAGTTTCTAAGCATTAAAACGTTTTCTAAACATTCAGCTTTGGTTGTCAAATGTTAATATTCCAGTTTTCTTAATGTGTGTCTTAATGTAATTGTGTTAATGTTATATAACAAACTTAGTATAAGGATGTCATTCGTAACAATTCAATATTATGGGAAAGTTGGCTGGCAATCGTTATTGAATTTATTAATACCGTTTCATAAAAAAAGTTTACAATTATGTTCTTTTATAAAATATTGTTTTATCTATGTTGTATCCAGTACCTGGGTAGATTACGTATAAATTGTAGTCCATTACTGATTACAAATTACATAATGGAAATTGTAGTTAGTAACATAATCTGTTTAATTACACATATTAGGTAATGTGTTCTGAGTACTTTTGGATTACTTTTAGATTAGTTTTGAACTAACTC